ATTCCTGGTAATAGCAAAATGGGCTTATTTAGCAGCTACAGAGGTCGCAGTCAGTGCTGCTGTTGACAGGCAATGACTTTATAGACTTCGTAGACTCTTTCTTGCAATGTATAGTAGCTCAGTTTCTGGAGGGTATTTTTAGCTCTGGTGCTCTTCTTTCTAAGAATAATTGAAGTCAGTGGTAAATATACTGTTGAATTCTGGTGTACAGTGGATCGTTTTTTATGAGGGCTGTGGCTATTCTTAGCCAATAAAAAAAACAAAAAAACCTCCCAAAACTAAAAGCTGTTAGGCATCAAATGCTGTGACAAAACAGTCCTTGTAATTGGTGAGAAACAGTATGAAGACAACCATCTCTGAATTTCCCTGGTTGAAACATCAGTCTCATTGAAAGATTAACATTGAAATTTAGTGGAAATTAAGCATCATAGTTGTGCTACCCCTTTTTCTGTAGAGAGAGACAGTCAGTTATTGTATTAACATATCTGTTGCTTTGTTCTGAGTGTGTGGAGAAGGAAAGAACTGCTGTGGAGCAGCAACCCCTCTTGTTTTCTCTCAATCTGAGATGGAGAATGAAGAAAGCAAAAAATTGCTCCCACAATACAAGTTGTTCCTTTACTCCTAAAAAACACACTCCTAGAAAATGCAGCCACTCTTTGGTACTTTATTGTGTAGGAAGGGTAAAGGAAAGGAATGGACTGAGAAAACCTAACCATTTTTTGCAGCTTCATAAATGCCACAGCTCAATGGTGAGTGCCAAAATATTTAGCCTTAGCTTTGCATGGTAGACTTCTGCTGTGGAGAGGCGTGTTTGCGTAAATCATTAGTACTCTTTGAGGATGAATGTTCAAAGGTGTCAATCTTAATAAATCCTTATCAATACACTCCCTATTGTGTACAGCAGATTAACTAGATCTGCCTTTCTCCTCTGAGAAGGTATTTAGAATAGTGTTCTTCATGCTTCAGGATAGAAAAAATATTTTCATTGGTTTGTAGCCCATCGTTTTTGAAAGTTCAGTGGTCTGGTTGTTTTGCTTTGGTTTTTTTGGTTTTTTTTTAATAAAAGGCCATTCTGGAGTTTCTTTTTGCTCCATCAACATTTAAAAGAAGAAGAAAGGAAGATTTAGTGGGAAAGTAAATAGTGATGGAGGAGAAACAGAGGCATCCTTTTTTTTTTTCTGCCCTCAGCATTGTGTTATATCAGCATTTCTCTCGATACCATTTGCTGAGCAAGCCAGTGAATAATCTCTGCTTCAGAGGAGCCATTGTGTTCTTCTGTAATAAATGGAAGAGAGCAAGATATAAAACTCTTTTGTTTTCCGTACTCTTTAAGAGATTTAATTGACAACTGAATGCAGTGTCCCTCTTTGAACCATTATTTAGTTACAGCATGTGTTTTAATTTTGCAAGTGTTCCTGTGGTATAGCAGTCCTGTGGTTTGGTAGGACTGCAAAAGAGGAAAGGTAGTGTGGTGATGGGTTTTTAGGGGTGAGGGTGGTATTTTTGGTAGAAAGGTAGACCTTTTCCAAGAAGAATAGAGGCCAGGCTGTCAACTTAGGAGATGTCAGTTTAGATACTCCCAAACTTGGACTACTGCACCTGCTTCCGTTTATGAGAAAGGGCCAGCTTCATCCATCCAGCTTTCTCCATGTGGGTCTTTGACTTCCTTTATCTACCTGATTAACCAGGACCTAAGGCTGGAATCCTTTAGCTAAAGTTGCTTAATGGATTTCCCATATTTTCCTTGCTGTTGCAAGTGTATTAGTTGGCACTGAAGTGGGGAGTGCTCTGAAATGCAGGACATAACAGGAAATTTTTTTTTTTTGAGGCTACAGAGCTACTGTTTAAGTCTGAATTTTGATGTTAATTGTACATAGTGACCCTGGGAACTGAAATACAGGCAGACAGCCACATTAATAATCTAGGTGAAGAAAATTGCACCTGTTTCAAAGAAATAATGAGTTGTAATAACGTTTGATCAGTGCTAACCAAGGCTGGTTCACAGTGTGTAAAACTTCTGAATGTCATTAGGAGTCATGCAGGTTTCCTACAAAAATCATCTCTTTTATATATTTTGGATAGATTTGGATAGAATATTTTTCACTGTGTCAGTTCCTTTTGAGTTTTGTTTGCTTTAAAAATACTCTAAAACAGTATAAAGAAATATTTCCTGAAATTGGCAGCTGCTGTGCAGAAGCTTGCCTCTTTCTGAAGGGCATTAGGAATTTTCACACGCTTGTTTTAAAAGGCCAAATGGAAATAATGCTCTGATGCCGGGGGTGCAGATGCACAGCTCTGTTGCTGTAAAAAATGTTAAGCCAGTACAGCGAGTCCTGCTGTTACCTAATGAAACTTCACATGGAGGTCTTTATAAAATGACAACACTGTATTTGTTTTACTTCAGTGTGCCTTATATATTTTATTTTTAAAATCAATGAGCATCACTTTTTAAGGGATTTCGTTTCCTGAAGTCCAATTATATGGAGTTTGTTTTGTTTTGTTTTAAACTGTGTTACTGAAATTGTGCTATAGTTCCAGAGGAAAAAACATAAAGGGCATTTGCTGACGTGAGAGCTCCCCAGGAATCCTTTTCGGCGGGAGGCGGGGGAAGTTGGGATTTTTTTTTTTCTGGTATACAGTGATTATGAAAACCTTGACTTTAAAAAAAAAAAAAAAATGTATAGATATGGGTATCGTGGAAGAGACTGTCGAGCCAATGTTTACCTCCTTCCTACCGGAGAAATTGTATATTTCATAGCATCAGTGGTGGTACTATTTAACTATGAGGAGAGAACTCAGCGACACTACTTGGGTCATACAGACTGCGTTAAATGGTTAGTATTTAACATTTGCATGTAAGTATGTGTCTAATAATGCAGAAATGTTTTTTTTTTAATTCTCTCCTACTATATGTATGAGCTCATTAATGTCATCATAATTGTAGTTATTTTCTGTTTCATCAGTCCCAGTAGATTTCACTGTAGTAAACACTGCACAAATGAACGGTGCTAGAGCAGTCCATGCTAGCTTAGGGTTTCTGGCTGAAATGTAAAACAACAGGGTGTGTAAACAATCTTAAGAGTGCCAGATTAAAGAAAGGATCTTTGCATAAATTATTCTAAATAGATGTCCCAGAAATTAAAAATTGTTGTCAACCTAATTCTAAATCAGTGATTTACAGGCAGTATGGCAAAGATACAGTCTTAAAGGAGAATTAGAAAACCAAATGGAAAACTGAGCAGTAATTTTCTCATTTTTTAATAGATAACCCATCCAAGTGGGGCATCTATTGTCTGGGAAATCCTAAAGATGTTTGCAAAACAAAACAGAGAAGCAGGGAAATTGAAGCCAATGGCATTGTGGGTGCAAAGGCAGTTGCTGACTTTACGATGTTAGTCTGAAGAGTAGTGCACATGATGTGATGGGGAACATAAGCTCCCTACTGTACCAGAAAGGAGAAGAGTTGCCATCTAAACCTCTTTTCTCCTGGCTGTGCTTTGATAACTGTAATTGTTTCCTGTGGGAGGAATGCTGTCAGTCTTGTGTTCTTCACTTTCATTCAAAAAACTAGACTGAATTGTAAATGCGTTTGGTGTCCATCACTCTGACCTCTTCAGGCTCCTCCCTGCTTGCCCTTTCCTGGTTCAATGGCTTTCTTCACATTTGTAATTTTACAGAGAAAGCAAATAAGAAGGTCGGTCAAAAAATCACTAGGACTAAGAGGATGTGTACTCTGAAATTGCACTATGTGTTTTTTCATATCAGCTCCAAAGTGAAACGTGATAAGCAAAAGCAGATTTTTACTTACCACTAGTAGTGCACCATACTGGAGAATTTCATTAGTACAATTACATCAGTAACTCATTTCAAGTGGCAGTAATCCCCGACTCCTGGCTGCACAAGCCCTCAGACAACTTTTCAGCTGTTTTTTCCCCAGGTTCATGCTATCTGTAGGTTTAGGCATAAAATATGGTGTAGTGTTTATAAATATGGCATATAACTACATGTAGGAAGTTCATCGTGACATAATGTATATTTTGTTACAGTGGACTCCCGATACAGTGCAAACCTTAGATTTGTCAGAGCACATGCGGAGGTGGCTCTTCTGGCACTCCTAGTTTTGTGCTAGCAGCCATTGCAAGAGCCTGATCGACCCATTAGTACAGTGTGTAATGAACTAGTCTGATGAAAAACATTCAAGCTGTCTCATTAGAAGTGGGATTTAGGATCTTAAGTGTCATCATGGGCTTCTGTTGAGAAAGAAAAAAAAAATTTATAAAAAACCTCTCAGTTTTGAAGACCTATGACAGCAAAAGCAAGTCATATTTCTGTCTGTCTTAGTCTTGCAGTTCATCCAGACAAAATTAGAATTGCAACAGGACAGTTAGCTGGAGTGGATAAAGATGGAAGGGTAAGTAATAGAGCTGTTGAGCAGTAGTATTTTGTTTTGAAAATCAGGAAAAAGTGTTCTGGGTTTTTTTAATCTCATCATCACCTTCTGTTTGCAGTTTATTTTATGCACAGCCTTTACTGAGATATTTTGCTGTTTCTAAGGTAACAGCCTATATCTCTAGCAAAAGACAGTGGCAATTAAGCACTCAGCCATACATCAAAAAGAGCAGAAGCTCATAAAGTCCTTTATGAGTCCTTTAAAGTCACAGTTAGTGACATAGGAAACTCAATTTTAATTCTGCAAGCAAATGTGAAGCTTGTATTTGATTTATAAGGCCACGTCATTTCTGTCACATTTCTTTCAATAAGTCTTCTCCCAGAAGAGAACAAGTCCCCAGTTCTGTGGGTCAGTGTACTCTTAAGCCTTCATGGAAGAGGAAATCGACTTGGAGAATTCATGGAAGGTGTCAAGCTTTCCTACAAACTTCCTTATTTGAGAGCAAGTGTGTTTAAATGCTGTTGTCCCTGGCTGTTGGTGAACTCTGTCAGAATTTGAATAATTGGATTATCTTCATGAAGTTATAGACAGAGGAAAAAAAAAAAAAAGAGGTGGAAAAAAAAAAGAGACAGATACTATGAGGTGTTAGAAGCACAATAAATATAACCCTTATTCAGATGTTCAACTTAATTTCTTAGATTTTGTAAGAAGTTGGTGTGGGATTTTTTTGTATAGATATTGTTATGATTTCCACTGAACATTTGTTGAATCTCTTGTTGTGGCTGGTTGGTTTGTTTTTCCATCAGTGGGATGATTTAATGTCACTTTCTATGGTGAATGCTGTCCTTAAGCCAACTTAATTCCCACTTTATTTCTGATTGTTTCACATTTACGAAGCTAAGCTGGTTTGGTACTTGTACGAAATATAACCATGGAGATTTTCATTGAGTGGTTGGTGATGGTTAGGGGACTCGGTGCACCAGGGTTGGGTTTTGTTTGGGGTTTTTTTTTCCTACATTACATATAAAAAAAAAAACAAGGTTTGATCATTATTTTCAGTTGTTGCATAAGATTGCTAGGTCTGGAGTCTGAAATGCAAGATGACTCTTCCATTATTTGTTCAATGACTTAAATTGGGTAAAGATTTATTTTCACAACTACCAAAAATGCCACCATACTTGATTTCTTGTCTCGACGGTACCACTGCCATGTTTGTAGTCCAGACATAGGGAGCTATGACTCTCACCTTTTGAGCTTCAAGATAACTATCCAGTGGCATTGTTAGCACAGGTCATCCTGCATTTCGGTCTGCAGTCTGTAATTCAGTAGCATCTGCTTAACAAAACTTGACACATGCATATGATGCTTTCACTGTTGATGATGCTCTTTGTCCCATTGCTTTTTCACACAGCCTCTGCAGCCCCATGTTAGAGTATGGGACTCGGTGAGCCTCGTGACGCTGCAGGTTATCGGCCTCGGGACTTTTGAACGTGGAGTGGGGTGTTTGGATTTTTCAAAAGCGGTAAGATGGGTGCAATTACTTGGTGTGTTAAGTAATTTATCCAATCCTATGTAAACGGGAGGGAAATCTTCAGAAGTTTTTGTATGTAGTTGCCTAGCTGATCTGTTTTGGTATTGAAAGTGCGTCAGTAAGGTTTATGTATACTTTATAAAACCAGCTGACAGTGAGCTAGCTGGAAAAACAGGAAATTGCACATGTAAAATTGCAGTAACAAACTAGCACAATGAATAAATAGCAGGCAAGAAAAGCCTTAACTAGAAACTGAACTCTGTGCTAGGTTTGGTGATTTGGTTTTGTTTGTGAGGGGCTTGGTTTTTTGTTTGGATATTAAAAACAAGTTTGTTAGTGAAGTTTATGAAGACAAATTTTAGTGACTTCTGATAGAAAGCGTAACTTTTCTGCTTACACAGCTGGAGTAGGTTTTTATCCACCAACAGGAAATAAAAAAACCAACATTGTCTTGTGCTATTTTTTCCTGAGGAATACTTCGTTCAATTTGTGCCTCTACTTTTACATAGAAAAAAAAAAGAAATAGAACTCTTGTTACTGGGCCCACAGAATTTATCAGAAAAATCAGTAGCAAATGGAGATGCGTTACTTGGCATTGATAAAGTTCTCATTTCAAAATTGGCAACGAGTTTATTTTTTGTAAAATTTTTAAGCTGCCTTTGTATTTTCACCAAAGCACTAAAGACATGTCAGACCTCATGAAAATCCAGGCTGTGCTTCTTGCATCCCAGCAAGAAGAATTAATACATGTAAAAATAAAAAATGCAGAAAAAGAATGTCTGCTGTAGGTTGCTAATAGAGGAAGAGATTCACAGGACAGCTGAGGTAGGGAAGGGATGGCTGGAGACCACCTCACCCACCGTCCCGCTCACAGCAGGCTCAGCCAGAGCAGGCTGCTCAGGGCTGTGGTCCAGCTGGGTTCTGAGTATCTCCAAGGATGGAGACTCAACAGTCTCGCTGGGCGACTTGTTGAAAGGAAATGCTTACACATTGAAATGTTGCTAAGTTAGTTATACCTAGGTTTTGTCTTTCAGTAAATAAAAGAATTTTTTGTTTGTTTCTTTTTTGGTTTTTTTTTGTTTGTTTTACAAATTGGGAGTAGCATACATAAAATAGAATAATGTGAGAGGAATACTGTCATTCCTGTCTCTCTCACAAATCAATAAAACTTGTAAACTCAGATACATTTGTTTTTCAAGGTGAATAAATACATGTTCCATCATTTTAAAAACAAAACAAAACAAACAAACATAAAACCACTAAGGTATTTTTGAGGACTAGATTTTAGTTTTTATTAGTTTGTTTTGCAGCTGAAATGGATTTTGATACCTTATTACAGTCTCATCTGATTCCTCACTGGACTGAAACAGTGAATATGCAATATCTAGAACTGTGTTTTTACCACATAATTCCATTAACCCATGCAAGAGCTTGTATATCGCCAATGCTGTCTTCAGGGTGTCTTTCCACTTAATAATTGACATGTATATTTGCATATTACTGCTCATAATAGTATTAGTATTTGGGAATAAAAATTTCAGCCACCTCTATTTTCATAATTTGTTAGAGAATGCGGTTGAACTGCAAGAATCAACTTTAAAATAAATAAGGCCTCCTCCAAATCTTTCTACACATGTCCTTGAAACAACTGGTTTGTGCAAGTATGTGTTGCTGTGAATAAGTATGTTTTTGTTCCAAGATTTTCTGTCTGCTCTTTTTAATTCCGTATAGCCATATTTACCATTTTGTTGTAAAATTGTTCAAAATTAGCCATTTCAGTTATTTGATACTGTGGATGCCAGTCTTTCTGCTCTGTAAGCATTACTTTATTCAGAAAGTGTTACCTTTGCCGCAGTTTTACCAACTGCGTGATGAAACTGCTGGTACTTAATGCTCCATGAGGAAAAAATAAGATGTGCTTACAAAATTTGATAATGTAAAGTTGTGTGTATGTGATAGTGACATTTAAGAAAAAAAACACAAGTGGAGCTATGTGTCTGTCCTCTGAGACCTGAGGAAAACCAAAATATTTGCAGAATAGAAAAAGGGAGAAACCTCTTTGCTACTACCGTGATATTGCAAACAAGAAAGCAAAAAAAAGACAACAACAACAGAAACAAACTGAAATGGAAAGACTTGGTAAGATGATTTTAAAGCTTTCCTAGAATATTGCTTGAAGCATCGTCATTTTTTTGTGAGATTATGCAAAAATCTATGTCTATCTTTAAGAGAAAAGGAAAATACCAGATATATCAAGCTTATTGTTACTTTAGAAGGACTTGCTTAATTTATATTTATACCTTTGTGGTTTTTTAAAATACTACTGCCCTTCCCTGTTTCTAAATGGGGTATGATATTACTTTGTCAGCACTTCTTTTTTTCTTTTTCCTTTAGGATTCTGGTACTCATTTGTGTGTAATTGATGACTCTAATGAGCATATGCTCACTGTGTGGGATTGGCAGAGGAAATCAAAAATAGCAGAAATAAAGGTAATTATTGCACAAATTAATATTCTGAAATACAAGTGGTTTTTTTCCCATAAATACAACAGTTTGTGAGACACACATTTGATCTTACTTGGAAACTGCAACTGGAATCCTGCTGGCTTGTGTAAGGGCACAAAAGAAATGTATTCTTAACTTGTATATTGGAAGGGTTTTGAATATTGGAGTGCTTATAATTCTATTTTACTCATCCCTAAAAGCCAATCCAAATAAAGCAATTCTCTAATATTTGCCTAATTTAAAAAAAAAAAATCCTGGGAGCTTTAAGAAACTGAAGTGATGTTTCAGTCTGTAGTTGTTTATTTAAAAAAAAAAAATTTTTTTAGACATTCCTTATTTTCATTTTTTATCTGAATCGAGTTCCAGACATTGATTCTTGGTATGTGTGTCTATTCTCATTTGAAGTCCATCAGTACTTTTGCAGATTGCAATCTTGTTTGCTTTCCTGTTTCTTTCGTAACCTTCTAAATTTCTGATCGATGAGAAGCATTCAGAGGTGTTGCGCTCAATGTTTATGTAAAGTTGATTCCACTGGAAACACCCAGTCCAATAATAACTTGCTATTGAAGTCCATATTTTGAGACATCTTGCTTTGCGTTACACAATATCAAGCAAGGAGATATTACATGGATGTGGAACCGAGTATTTTTTAATTTTTTTTAATCATGAGTCAGGAAGTGGAATACTCTACAAGCATATATGTCTATATGATTACAAACTTGCAATTTCAGATAACAAAATCAGGTTGGTTTGACCCATTTTCTTTAAATTATGTTGACCAATACTAATTATATTCTATTCTGTAAGTTTTAATGTAATTCTATGTCATTATTTTCATTTCCTTACTGATATTTAATGTGAAGCTATGTGGCATATGCCTTGTATTTCGCATTTTATTGACATTGTTTTGACTATTTTTACTCTCCAGGGAGTTCCTTGGTGTTTCAGAATTGGCTAAAAACAATTTGGCAGGGACAGCTTGCCTTTCAGTAATTACTCATGTTTAGGACTTGATCTTGCAGTATCTTAAGCACCTTCTATGATAGGTGATATGAGCAGAGTTTCATCCCTTGAGCTAGGGTGTGAGATGGAAGCCTTGTCTCAGCTGAACTCCATTAAATTTTTCAGTCCTTAGTTTCCGTATGATTTCCATGGATATAGCAGATACGCTTATGTGGAGGAAGCTGTGTGTGAGAAGCATAATTCAACAAATATGGCCTTCAACGAAAAATGAAACTTAAGAAGGTTGTTTTCCTAAAGTGAGCCAAAAATGGTGAGGTGGGAAAGGGTACTCCCACAGGTGCTGATTCAGCAGCACTTTTATGTATACTCCTTTAAAGCATGGGCTTAAATCCCATAGAAGTAAATGATTGATGCATTTACTTAAGTGTTTTGTAGAGTCATTGCCTCCAGGAGATTGTTTTCAAAGACAGTTTGGTTGAATATACATTAGAAGTTAAATAAATGACCAGTCAGTTTATTATGTTTGTAAAATCTATTGGTAAAGGATGAAATACTGAGGTGTTAGTAATTCAGGAACAGTATATGCAGCCACTAAAAATACAAGGGTGAGACTCTATGTTTCAGGGGTTTGAGTTATGCAAGTTTCTTTTTTTCTTCTTTGTGAGGAGGAAAGGAGAGGAAGAAAGAACCCAAAGGAATTTTTACAGAATTTCAGAAAGAGAATTATGACTGTAATCCTACTATGTTACCATTATCTCAGTTGCCTCTGTCACAGCTTTGTTATCCAGAATAGCAAACTACTCTGTGTAGAAACTGAACAGGGTTTTCAACCCAAAAAAGTGTCTTTTATACATCATTCACTTTCCATGGCAGTGGTCCTAGCTATTCTAGAGGGCAGAAGCTTTTGTGATTTTAAAAAGTGAATGTAAAACCTGACTTTTCTACTGAAGTTTTATAAAGATCTCTTATGAAGACGTGTAGATGTGGTGCTTAGCAACATGGTTTAGTGGTGGACTTGGCAGTGCTAGGTTAATGGTTGGACTTGATGATCTTAAAGGTCTTTTCCAACCTAAACGATTCTATGATACGATTCTATGAATGTAAAAAATCAATATATATAAAATGATATGCGCGGTCATTCAGACAGTTATTTAGCACGGAAACTTGGAGATTCCTTCAAGCATACAATGAGCTGTCTAGTTCCTCATATCTCTGTTCTGAAACTTGGGATTTCTAGTAGTTAATGTCCCATCTGAATAAATATTATTTCTGTTATTATTTCAGACTACAAATGAACTTGTTCTTGCTGTAGAATTCCATCCAACTGATGCAAATACCATAATAACATGTGGCAAATCTCATATATTTTTCTGGACCTGGAGTGGCAATTCATTATCAAGGAAGCAAGGGATATTTGGGGTAAGAATATCTTGATATCAGGTCAGTTTTAAATCAATGGAATGATGCGTTCACGCTTTCTATAAATTTGCTCCATTGTTACCGTGTACTGTTTGAACAGAGAGGTAAACAATCAAAAAAGGTTAAATTCTGTTTACGTGTATGCAGGGTGTATGAGTCTGGATACGTTATACTAACTATGTAACGAGTACAAGCAATTATCCCTTTCTTTTGCTTATTTTGTTTCAGAAATATGAAAAACCCAAATTTGTTCAGTGTTTGGCTTTCTTGGGAAATGGTGATGTGCTCACTGGAGACTCAGGTGGGATAATACTTATATGGGGCAAAACTACTGTAGAACCTACTCCAGGAAAAGGACCTAAAGGTAGGATACATTCACAGTTAATCGCAGATTTTAGATAGTCTGTAGAAGACAAACATAAAGGATTGCATTAGAAAAGGAATAGGGAAACAGGCCTGACGAAGGGTATACACTTCCTATTATTAACAGGTGGTATTAAACTCCTTCAAGTCTCATCAATTTGCTGACTTAAGAGCAATCTAGAGTTTCTCAATAATTAATAAGACTGTGCCTGAAATGAATGAAAACTACTTTATCTAAATGTTTTGCATTTAAAAAAATGTGCAGTTAATCAGCTTTCCTTTCATCCTGAGATTTGAAAAAGGCTGTAGGATCAGTTTGGGGATTCTGCTACCTTTGCCTCATAAAGCTTATGTTGTACCATGCTTAGTCTCAGAGGAATACTATTAAGTGTTGAAGCTGATGTTAATAGGACTTGTATGTGAAGGAAAACTATAATGTGTAGTTGTACCAGTTACGCAAATAATAGTATCTGGTTTAGCAGATACTCATGTCTTGGCTGTAAAATATACTTTAAAACCCATCTTATTTGAAATTTGGGTTAAACTTACTCTTTAGGGCAAAGCTTTTGTAAAAAAGAAAGGAAAATTATTTGTTACCCAACGTATGCAGACCTGACACAGTTGGGCCCTAAGGTAACTTATAAATTCAAGGGTAATTTATTTTACTTGGCAGCTATTTCAAACACTCTGGTTTAAATTGGTATGCCAGGAAAACATTCATGTAAAAAGTAAATTTTTAACAGTAAGTCTGGTTTTGTAGGTAAATCTTTTTCTTGTCTTTCAAGGTAACTGTAATGGAAAAGTAATTTAACAGATTATATGATGTTTAATTTTGAAGTTCTTGTGCAAAAATAAGCTTTTCCCAATATAATCTTAAAAGATATTGAATAGAACATTTATTTACATTGGCTTAATTAAATAGGGGATCTTTTAGTGGGTTTATCACATTAGATTGGTCACAGGACTTGATCGCAAACTCTTTGTCATAGTGTGAGAGCATGCTGACCTGAACTGACTTGAGCCATAGGCAGTCATTGAAGTTAAGCTGGTATTTATCTGCGTGCTGTTTTAGGCTTTTTCTGTGATTGCTATTTGAAAATATGCAAATCTCAAAGCACCAGAATCTTTCTTTTTTTAAAATATACTTTCCTACAGCAGTTCTTTTGACATGAAGACCGAATTCGGATGCAAAAGGCTTCCTTTGCTACCTTTGTTGTTTAATTTTCTCATCTCTCTTTCATTCTTCCTAGTGTTTTCCTTTGGGTAGACTGCTAGTTGATAGATGCCAAATGCTAGTTATGCTATTTTAAGTGAGGCAACATCCAGCATTAGATATGAGGTTCATGCATCCTGGAAACTTTGCTATAAATAATTTGCTTTTTATTCCCATAAGACTATAGACAACAAGTCTTTGAGTTTCTTTTAATAAAATAACTTTAACTCTTTTCTAATAATGACTTGCTAAATACTTAGTGACTCTAAAAGACAGTTTCTCTTGCATCTGGAAAAACTGTGTTCCCTTGGGTAGCAGAGAAATGAAAGCATTTTGCGTATAGTTGTTCTTGCCTTCACGAGTTGTAGGACAATCAATCTCGAAAAAGTTTCTATTCAGGAAGGCAAGTCCTTTGTTTTATCTTTTCATCCTGTAAGAAAACACTACCACCTTGTGTTTGCAATACTAATGCAATACTAATAGCCTGACAATGTGAATGTAATTATTTATTATATGCTGTTGCTTTATTCTTCTGCCAAAAGGCACAGCTTCTTGTAAACCCCAGGTGAAAAAATGAGTAGTGTTCTTTATTATTTTCTTTTTGTGCATGTAGGAGTATATCAGATAAGCAGGCAAATCAAAGCTCACGATGGCAGTGTGTTCACACTCTGTCAAATGAGGAATGGGATGCTGCTAACTGGAGGTGGGAAAGACCGAAAGATCATCTTGTGGGATCATGATTTGAATCCCGAAAGGGAAATTGAGGTAAGAAAGCAAGAGTGACAAGGAAATTGCCTTGAGCAAGGTATTGACTAGCAAGACCGAGCCCTCTCCACCCTTTGGAGGATCAGTAGTTAGGATGATAAGACTATCTTCTGGTTGCTGTCTTTTTAAGTGGATGACAATGTTTTTATAAAAGTGTTTAAATTTTCAGCCTTTAAATGAGCCTATATGAAGTTTCAGTTCTCCTCGGTTTAAAGTGAACAGAAATTTTAAGGTTTTTCTTTCCTTCAAGGCCTGCCTTAGTTTCTTTTATTTGTCCCTTTTTTGAGGATATTCTTTAGTATGGCCTGTGTTTTTGTTAAGTTTGCCTGTCTGGAGAAAGACAGTGTTACCAGGATTTGTGTGTTTTAATAGAATTTTTGACATAAGGCAAACAATTGGTAGGATACGGGTATTCTGAAAGAATTAATGATTAATAAGCTATGTGGAGGAACTTCTTTTAACTTTATCCTAAAACAAGTGTTTCATGAATATGTATGTCTTTGTGATTTGGCTCTATGGCAATGCTAGGTAAATGGGGATGAACTGGAAAAAAATGGTATGTTACGGATTTTAAAATACTTTTTTTTTTTTTCCCTGACAATAAGATTACCTCTTGAAATAACATGTTGTTCTTAAACAGTTGTTGTAATTATGGTTTGTTCCACTTACCTAGTGTCCATTTATAGCCGCATTTTTTCCTTAACACGTATGTTTAGTTCTATCTAGAGTTTGTTATTACCTTGAATCTAATATTAACCTTTAGAAAACATGGCTGAGAGTAAGTAAGCATTGACTATCATATACAGCTCATAGGCTTAAGTAATGCACTCTAGTCATATCAGTGTCTCTATTTTCCTTTTGTTAATAATGTTATGTTAAAGCTAATTTTTTATGTTGAGAAATATTACCAGAACCCTGACAGAAAGCTTTCTGAATGATTGCATTGATTTTGTGGCTAATACTAAAGTTAGTGTATTTTCTAAAGAAAAATCATTTAGAAAACCAAACAAATGCACACTATAAAATAAAACAGTGTATTAGAATTCAAGCATGTGGTAAACAAACTCAATAAAATTCGGAGTCATTGCTGACATAAGGCATATGAACATTTACTTAAGGCTACTCAGGAAGCATTAAGAAAATCAGGAAGCATTTACTGTGTGCTACAAGATTTTTCTTATTTTTCACAATGGGTTTTGAAAAGTAAACAGTAACTATGTCTTATTCCTATCCTTATAAGATGAGTTGTAAGGTTGTGGAGTGCATTTGTTTAGTGTATTTGACGCTTAAAAATCCTTGTAATTTAATTTGTAATTTTTTTCTACTGAGACTTACTAAAATGGCACAATTGTGATTGTTTTGGAGCGAGATCATTTTGTATGCCCGTACTGAACAAATAAATAGGTAGGTTTCAGGTAAAGTCCTGATCTAGTGTATACATGATTAGATTGTTCCTTTTTACTGGGAGAACTGCAGTTCTGGTACTGTCGTTGTGCACTATTTGTGGTCTTCAAAAATAAGCGCCTATCAAGATGGCATGATGTGGTTTTACAGATGTTTCTTTTCCTAGGTTCCTGATCAGTATGGAACAATCAGAGCAGTAGCGGAAGGAAAAGCAGATCAATTTTTAGTGGGTACTTCACGAAACTTTGTTTTGCGGGGAACATTTAACGATGGTTTCCTAGTAGAGGTACAGGTGAGCACAACTCTTTTTTTTTTTTTTTTTTTTTAAACTATAACCCAAAAATGTAAAGGCATTCTCTGCTGCTGAGTATTTTAAGAGTGTCTTTATTTTATTCATTGTTAAATCATATGTGTTTTCTTTCCAGGGACATACAGATGAACTCTGGGGACTGGCATCCCATCCTTTCAAAGACTTATTTTTAACATGTGCCCAAGATAGGCAAGTTTGTATGTGGAACTCTGTGGACCACACGCTGGAATGGACCAGACTGCTAGATGTATGTCAACCCTTTAATGTTAAATATAAAGCTGGAAAATAGGAAAAAGCATTCGTTTTCTGCAACCCCCTTGTGCCATCTGATCGCAAGAGAAGCAAAAATCCTGTAGTTACGTCTTTAAAAACAGCTATTCGGAAGCTTTGATAAACTTAACCAGACATTGTATAGACTCATCAGACATTGTATACACTGTACTCTGGTTACCATTGTCTGATGCCATTCTGACAATCCAAGTTGAATAAAACTTAGTCCTTTGTCCTTGTTACAGTATAACTTTTTTCCCAATTATTCAAACAATCTGAAGAGGATATCATACAGTTGTGCAAGGTTTGGCTTTAGATATCCTTCCTTACTGTCATTGTTCATTTCATATGTTGGCTAGTTCTGTCCTAATACCCGAGCAAAAGTATCTTTTTACACAGAAATTTAGGCTTTTTACTTTCAAGACATAGTGCATGTCACTGATACATTAAAAGAAAATCTGTCTGAGGATTGTAAGCGTGCTGCTAAGTGATTGGTTTTCCCTGTGTCAGTTCACCTCAGACTTTTAGGGTAGCTTTGGTATAGGAGAGGTGTTTGACCATAAGGAAGCGGGCAGGTGAATCACATGTCTGTGCCTCTCCGTTCAGGAACCGGGGCACTGTGCTGACTTCCATCCCAGTGGAGCAGTGGTCGCGATAGGAACGCACTCGGGCAGGTAAACGCCTTTCGACTGAGTTGTGATGATTGAAAGTTTAAAGCAGACAATTTGATACTACATATCTTGTATATTGGCATTTGTTTGCTTTTTATTCTTTTTGCTTGAGGTTAAGTAGCCAAAAAAGCTTGGGGGAAGGGGACAGACCTTTCTTACATGGGTTAGATGAAGACAGAAGAATTATTTGACTGTTGTTAGACTGTTTTGGTTTTTTAACTACTCTTCCATGAAAGCCCAGACCTTGAAATTTTTTTATCTATTTTTTTACTATTTTTTTGCAGAGGTTTCCATGAGCACTCCTTATTGGCTTTACCAAGTATCATATATTTTAATATTGTGTGTGAATATTACATTAGTTTATAAGCTGAGCACAGTACAGATCTTTCTCTTTCCCAAATACACTTGCAACCTCTTAAATTGACATGGAGAGGCAAGTGAACAGGCTAGGATTTTGATTTTTTGGTAAGACAAAGTTTAACATGGCACATTGCTGCAATGAAGTGCTATCAAGCTGTTCATATTCTTCCTGAAATCGTTGCGTATTTGAAAGCTATCAAAACACAAGCTGAATCTTTTAACTCAGGCTTCTTTCAGTGGTGGAAAAAATTTATTTTAATTCATAGTCAAACTCTGGCTTGGTATCGTCTCCCAAGAAAGGAGTGTTATGCAATGGATTTTTAGCAAGTACCAATTAAAAGAAAAAAAGGGATATTCATAGCATTAGAAAGGTGAGAGGAATAGATATTAAATCTACTAGCATTTTTATTCTGTTTTTCAGTTATACCTCATGGTTGACAATTCGATGATAAAATAATGCATAGTGCATGTAAGAAAATCGGGATTTTTTTTGTGTTTAATTCACCCCCTAGAAATTTTTTTATACCTAACCTCATGCCTAAAAACCGTTTAAAGTTTGGTTTTTCGAAACTGCTGAGCATGTGTAACACCTTTAAACTTTCCTGGAAAAATGAAATGTTACATACTTTTTAAGGAGTTTTCTTCTCCAAGATGAAGATGCAGTCTGCACTAAATTCATTAGGTACAACATCAGGCTAGAAAACCAAGTTTACCTTCCTAAGAAGAATCTTGCTGAGCTCTTGCGTGTTTGGTTTCCATACTGTACCTTTCCATTTTTTCATCCCTGTCTAATTATAGTATTAAATTAAACAAGTGTTTCTACCTTCATTAAACAGAGCAGAAGATACTGGCCTAATAGTACTTGAAACAGGAAAAAGGGAAAAGAAGGTCAGGCTACATTTCTTCAGAGTTATTAGATGTTTTTGAAATTACATCAAAGCACAATGAAGACATATTGAATGGTCAAAGCCTTCAGTCTTGTGTTTGCTTTTGAGGTTTTTAGTTGTGGGGTTTTTTTGTTTGGGTTTTTTTTTTTCCTCCCAGAGCATTTTAACATTACTTTTTCAATTCAGCACTTTTTAGTTTAAATTCCTATTTTTTAATTACCTGAGGCAACCAGTTTATACTGTGTTGGATAAATTTATGATGATGACCTTGGATTTTGGGGGGGTTTTTTGTTTTTTGTTTTTTGGTTTTTTACCCTGTTCTTCCTGGAACTGAGCAGTTATACTTTCACCATTATATTTTATTACATTCTGAAATTGCATGATTCAATGATAGGTTTGAGATATACAAATGAAACTGAATTGAAATGAGGCCTGGTAAGTGTAGAAGTGTATGAGAAATAAATGGAGTTGTGAATCAAGATAAACAGAACAGTTTTAAATTTACTGCCTAACTAGCAGCATCACGCAGTGCTTTCTGCACCAGATAATCCAGTCCAAGGGAGTTATTTCCCAAGGAATGAGGGCTGCATGATGTATCTTGATTAACATATGAGAGAAAATAGTCTCAGGCCCTTAACAAGTTATTTAATAACTTAATTGATTCATAGCCCAAAATGCATAAAGCCAATATTAAATGAGTCTAATTTGTTTAGAGTTCAATAAACCTTGGATATGTCTGTCTGTTGTTGTTCTAGTGCCGCTCTGCTTCCAGTACAGAGGTCAGTAAGACAGGGGTAGCGAATGGAGCATTAAGAAAGATGGGTTTGATGGTTAAAACTGTGACGTCTGAAGAAAACTGAATTTTCTACCTCTCTTCCCATTCTTGTCTGTTGTTTCACAGCGGTGTGTTTTTATCAGGCCAACACATCGTGGTTTTGGTGTGCTTTTCACGTACCGCTTCCCATGATGAGTGTTTCAGTATCATTTCCCTTTTTGGGCTGTCTGCAAATGGTCTGCTGCAGGTTTTATTAACTCCTTCTTCAAATACCTTCTGTGTGCCTGGTCATCAATTGTCTGGGATTAAGCCTGGTTTGGAGAGAACTAATACGTTTTGTGGATCCTGCTGTTTGCTGGAAATGCACAGCTAAAAAACTAAAAAGGGCTGGCAATCAGAAATCATACCAGAAAAGTGGGTTTTTCAGGGCACTATACAAATCCTTTTGCCATGCTGCCAGTGGTATTATTTGCAGGAAAGTAGACATTTCTGTGACTAATCGTATAGAATATCTTGAGTGCTGTGCACTGCAGAAAAAAGACTAATAAGATTCTTACAAAAATACTAACATTATTAAGAAAACTGAGGGCTGGAGGACAAGACCAGCACGAGCCAGAGCCGCAAGAAGGTAAATCCGTCAATAGAGCTATTGAGATTTATACCAGTTCAGCATCTGTTGTGGTGTTAAGATGAAGAAGCCTAAATATCCCAGGGAACCAATCTTGTAAGATGGGTTGGTTTGTTTACTCTGATTAATGCCTTGCAGGTTCAACATTCAGTATTAACTAAACATGGGAATTGCAAGTGTAAGTGCAAAAATATATTACTACTTTGGAATACTGCTTCCCTGGTGATTTCATCAGAAAAATTCTGCATTCACAGATGTGAATTATCAGTAATAAATGTCTGTCATGGGTCAGAATTTGTTTTCCAAAAGAGAGTAGTTTAAAGCGTTTTCTAAAAACATGTTTTTAGATAGGTTATTAGTATTTTTTTTTAGAGCAAAGGAATGGCAAGACAAGAAATGGATGAAAATGGCAAAAGTTCTGTCTTGTTTACGTGAACTCACAAACAAGTTAAGCGTGTTATCTTCAGTAACAATTGGGAGAAAATCAATAAAAACCAGAAAAAGCAAAAGAGCTACTATCTTACAGCTGGGATACCATTCATCCATCACAGTGCACTGGCTGTTTCCTTGGTCAGCTAAGATTGCAGCTAATATCTCTTGTTCAGAAAAATTTTTGGAGAAGGACTGGTGTCACAAAATGCTGTCTCCTAACGCCATAGGAAGTTCACTGTGCACTCTTAAGAGCAACAGAAGTTTTGCATTGTGCTTGATACCATACAATACCACCTCTGTGCTTTCAGTAAAATAGGGGGTTTTGCATGTTTTTCCGGTTGCATTTTAGGCTTTTGGTATTTTTCGTTTTACATAATATTAACTGGAGGTTTACCTGGTTCAGGTAACAGCCTCAAAGAACCGACCTAAAGAGCCGTTCTCAGGGCCAGCATCAAGAGGCATGTCTCTGCTGCAGCAGCCTCCCTGCCTTGCCCTGGTTGTGTGTTTTGGAACACAAAGGGCTCTCAGCCCTCCCCTTGGCTGTCTGGCAGAAGCGCTGTACAGCATGGTCACCTGCGGGAGGGCATGGGAAGGGGGTACCCATCCACTTCGTGGAAGAAGGCTGCTTTTGGTTGTTACTGTGCTGATAATCAGTTTTCATATCCAGGCACCGCAATTATGCTGCTCAAAATAAACAAACAGGCATCATGCTGTGTGGTCTTGCTAGATAAATAGATTTTACAGTATAGTGCCTAAGTTTTCTGGTAAAGCAAAAGGTCTTCCTATCTCCTGTTTTGCTGTCTGTGCACAAGAGGTGTGTTGCCGACCTGGGCTGAAGCAGTGAGGAGCCTCCACCCTGTGCTGCATTCAGGAAAACACAAATAAGAATGACAGTGGGGCATTGGCTTTCAGACCAGCTTCTCGTGATGCTTGGAGACCAGATGACTCCAACTCAGTGATGCCTCCATGTGTGTTCTTCACACTTCTGTTGTTGTCCCATCAGGATGTACTTTTAGAGCAATTTTGCTGTCATGATGGAGTCACTGTTTTTCTTTCTATGGTGGCAAGATGGCATAGGTATCCTCTCTCTTCCCTCCTGCCAAACCATTTTGTGGTTTTGGTTTGGTTTTTTTAAAATTTATTTTGATTTCTTTAATATCCACACCCCATCAGGGTTATCGGCCAGGTAACATTTTAGTGAAGCATTTGACAGGGCTATTTAGTTTGAACTAAGTAGCAGAATAGCAACTTGTAACTCCTAATGCGTTCAGAGAACCTTCAAAGCTTCAGTGTGTAGATTGGAAGAAATCAAAAGTCCACTTTCAGCAGAGGATTGCAGCAGAGAATCTCTGAGCGTGGTTTCTACTGCTGTCCGATGCAAACATATTAGCTGTTTTTCACTGGTTCCATCTGTCTTGCACACAGATTTTTCAGCAGTCTGTGGCATGTGGGGCTGAGGTTTTTTTATGTGTATGTTGTTTAATTTCTTTCATGTGATTCTCTAACCACAAGCTGGTTTTAAGCCATTGGGACTAGGCCACTTTCCAGATACCTAGCTGCTGGACACTGGATCAGCGTGAGCTGGAATCTCATCTCCATCCATAGAAAGCAGCGATGTGCGCTGTTGTTCCTGAAGTTTATTTTAGCTTAATAAGTCTGTTTTGGAATAGAGGGTCCTAGCTTTTGTGGTGTGTTTGTTCCACTGAGTTCACTATTAAATATCTGTGTGAGATGGCAGGTGGGGTTGCCTTACTCATTTCCACAATGCGTGAACTCGCCGTTTGCCGCTAGGGACGGAAATCTGGCCGTAGCGTACGCACACGGTTGTGAGATCAGAAGTTTGGAGCAAAGAAATTAAATTCTGAGTACACCTTTAATGTGTTTAGCCATGTTGAGATCTTACGTTTTCATGATAAACATGTATGTGTATATATATATTTTTATTGAATTTTCATTGTCTTTGTTTCGCTAATGTTTGCTGTATTTAGGAGTTGGGCATCAGAACCGTTGCAAAATGCTCAGGTTCTGCTGATCTTGTCCACCTTGCTGTCGGTGGCCATTTTGGTGTACAGGCCACTGAGTTTTTGTAAGCTTCTCTGAGCTTTTTACAGCTTTAACACTGCAGGTTAAAAGTTATTGTTAAATAATAAAAAATGCAATTAGTTACCTTAGTTATAAATCATCCAAGCAGGAAGTAAAAAAAAAAAACCAAAAAAGCTAGGTTATGAACCATCAAATTTCAGTAAATGGTTATTCCTTCTTACTTCAATAAAATTATTCATAGAAATGGAAAGGACTGAGGGGAAGATACCAAATTAGAATATAATTTGTGTTTAAAATGAGTATGGAAATGTTTTCCAGTCCCTCCTACTACTTCTATTTTTATTTTTTTAACTTTCTTCATACAAATTGAAAGATCAGTTTTTATATCAAAGCTGTTCTTCAAAATGGGGAAGAAGTAGTAGATTAAAATTCAGCTGTAGCCTTAAGGCTTCAGGGTCATAAGGTGCAGTCATATTAGCTATCTGGTGGCATGTTTATCATCCAGTAGACATTTTGGTGATTACTATGGTGTTCAAGGGAGGGGGAAAAAATTGGGCTGTATTTAGAATCTGTTATATATTCTTCACTGAAACTTGTATTGCTTTGTGTACCAGAAAAACGTTCCATTAAAAACAGATGTTCGCTGTCCTGCCCTTGAGGGGCTAGCATGAGAAGATGAAGGCAGGCAGTGATTATTGCTCTTTTGCTTGCTTTTTTGTTTAGTGGAAGTGATACTCATTGGAATTCTCCTCTCTCTAGGTGGTTTGTTTTGGATGCGGAAACGAGGGATCTGGTTTCAATACACACTGATGGCAACGAACAGCTCTCAGTGATGCGCTACTCAGTAGGTAGGCTGACTTGTACATTCAGAATAATTGCTGATAAATGAGACGTCTGTTCTGTTAAAGGGTGTTAAACTACTCTCCAGTCACTAGAAAAGGCAGAGCTTTGAAAAAAATAGTTTAAGATGCTTAATATATAACTGAATACTTGGTTACAGATTTGTTTGTGTGTGCTAAACCTTGGAGTTTTGTAACTGCAAACATTACAGTCACCTTTCCCAGCCTTTCCGTCACGTTGAACTGTGCTGTTATAATAAATGTTAGCTTTGCTCCCAGAAAAAGGAGAAGTTCTCAACTAGATAGTTGACACGTTAACAGAAAAGTCTGTAAAAAGCTTAGTATTTCAGTGATACTTTAATATACTTCTTAGTTAATTTTCAAGTTTATTAATACATAACCATAAAACTAAGCTCAGGTCTGTCTGAAACTCAGAGCTGTTTGTTAAGTATTTGCTATGGGATTACATGGACTCCAAGCCAGTATTAGTACTAGTCTCCTCTTCAAACGTGACATGACAGATCATCAGAGGCTGACTCCTCTCTGTTAAAACTGGATGGGAGAACACTCCCATAAATAGGTTTCTTGTTTGCTTTTGGATAACATGCCATGTCAGTGGGCAAAATGTTCCTCTGCTGCTGCCATATCTGCCAAACGCAGCAATTTATTTTAAAGCATTGATGTTCATTGACACTAGAGGCGTTTGATGGTGATTCAAGGCAACTCTTGTCCATGTACTTTTTTTGTAAATGGAGACAACATAGGTTAGAAAACTGCTTATAATGTTTGAATGTTCCACTTCTTTAGACATTATTTAATGCTGATTTATATGCAATCCCCCCCTCCAAAGCTAAGCTAACTATAGAGTAAATACTGTTCTGCATTTTTTTGTGATGCAGAAAACTCAAGCCTGCCTGCTGTTGACAATTTCCAGAAATCTAGTGCAGTCTGAGGATTTTAACCCTGTCCATTGGACACTTACTTAAAAAAAGCAGAAGTGAAAGAACTTGCCCAAAACCCATACCCACAAAGTAAACAGATACTGGCTGAAAAACAACATAATGTAAACAGTTACATATCCTTAAATACAATTCGTAAACAGTGGTTTAATTGAGACTATTGTCTTAGTGATAAATCTGAAGTCATTAAAATCTGGAAAACAAACATTCTGCTCGTTTATATCAAATATTTTGTGTTGCAGATGGCACCTTACTTGCAGTTGGATCCCACGACAACTTTATTTACCTCTACGTAGTAACAGAAAATGGAAGAAAGTATAGCAGATATGGAAAATGCACTGTAAGTTTTGGAGCAAATATAATCAGCAGTTCTTGCATTTTGATGTTATACATGCACTAAGATGTTAAGCAGTGGAACTCTTTCCGGGTTGGTGCTTTTCCATTTTTAGTTTTGATTATAGTTTTTATGGGTTTTTTTCAGCATTTGATTGATTTTAAACTTCAGTCTGATGGATACTGCAACCATTAGTGTTAGGTGAACACTTTTGCATCAAATATGACTAATTTCTCAGACTATTGACTTTTTCTTTGAAATGGGAAATTAGCAGTAAGGTGGAGAAATGCCTTGTACCTATATGCTGAAACTCCTTCAGGGAAAATATTACACTTGTTCGGGGGCATTTTCCCCCTATTGGTAAAGTACTCCTTGGACCAACATAACATTAGATGGTGGAATTTCATTAGAATATGTGATTTTGGAGGTTGCAAATACGCACTATTTTCAGCTGTTATTGTTACTACAAAATTTGGAATTGGGGGATACGTTACCAATAAATTTCTGGCACCGGGTGAATAAATGTAAATGTCGCAGAAGTAGTGGAGTTTATATTAGTCCTTACACTTACATGAGGTTGTCCCAGTGCTAAAAAGACATACCTTTTTTCCTTAAATGTTTAGTTATGTAACATCCTGGCCTTAAGTTCAGCTGTCTCTTTAGGTTAGTGGGAATAGTTACATAAAGAACATCTGAACCTTAATGGGATTTGCAAATGATATCGTATTTGACGTGTGAAATGTTTTTTTTTCAAGGAATGCATCCCCTGCTCAAAACACTTTTCATATGTTTGTCACCAATTGCATTTCTTTAGTTTTAAAAATAAGAGAACTTCTCAAGCTGCTTTGTTAATTTGAAAATGGCAGGTAAGGGGACCATAAGGCTCAATTGTGTTTTGTTTTTCTTTTTTTTTTTAATTTCTAATTTTTTTTTTATTATTATTATTATTTTTCTACAACCTTTGATGCAAGACTTGCAGTGGAGACTGTTAGTTAGGAGGAAATGAACAGGCATTAGCCAGTCCTTTAGTGCCATGTATGGTGTTTTTGAGAGATTTCTACCCATCATTTGGCTGAGGATGCCCCGCGCTGCTAGAGCATGGGGGTCCAGAGCAGCCTGGGTCTAGCTGCTGCTGGGGGCACGGGGCTGCCAGGGCGGTCAGCAGCAGTGGGTTTGCTCTGTCCCTGTGGTGTGCAGGCTGGCAGGGAGGGCTCGGCGCTGGCACGGGATGCGGCTGGGGGGGGAGGGTGCTGGGGGGGCGGGGGG